GAGAGGGGGATACGGGGATTGAAGTCCCCCTGTCCTCTCCTCCCTGATGACGTGTTGGCAGAGCTGCCTGATGCGTGCGTCGGTGGTGCTCACCCAGTCGCCCAGCTCGTCGCCCTGCGTCAATCTATGCTCGCCCTGCTGCGCGCTGCACAGCGCCTCTCTCAGCGCGGGCGGCAAGAACCCGACCGTGTTCGTCGTGCCTTCCATCGCGATGATCAGGGCCTGGAGCTGGAGGGGGAGTCGCGAGGACGAGGCGGAGGACGAGGGGGGGCGGGGGGAAGATGAGGATCGAGGGGTAGCCGTAGGAATGGGACGAACAGCACATATGAGTGGGAAGAGTTGGAGTATGAGTATAGGGGTAAGAGTGATCGTAGGAGTACCTATAAGTATATGACAAGTAGTACTAGGAGTACAAGTAGGAGTAGGAGTATAGAGTACAAGTATAAGTAATAGTAGGGTGGCCGAGTAGGAGTAGGAGTAGGAGTAGGAGAGGCCGAGTGGGGGTAGGACCCCGCCTTATTCTCGATCATCTTCTCCCTGTCGAGGCCCACGGCCTTGTTGCCCTTGCGCCCCTTCTTCTTCGAGCTCGTGGGGTGCTGGACGAAATTCACCTGGGCTGGTTTCGCGTCTCTCTATCTCTCTCTTTCTCTTTCTCTCCCTCTAGCTCTTTTTCTCCCCCTTCTCGTCCTCTTCCGTCCTCCTCCTCCTCCCCCTTCATCCCTCTTCCCTCCTCCCCCTTGTCCTTTTCGCTCTCTTCTTCCTCCTCTTCCTCCTCCTTCTCCTTCTCCTAGGCTCTGCCTCCTCCCCCATCCTGCTCCTCCTCCTCCTTCTCCCCCCCCTCCTTCTCCTCCTCCTCCTCCTCCTCCTCCCCTATCTTAAGATCCTCGTCGCCTTCTGGTCCACGAACGGCTGCAGCGCAGCCTGGAGTCTCTGCGCATCTCGGAATTTCCGCGCGTAGGCGTCCCTGGGTGGACTGGGCGCTGGGGAGGCCATGGAAACCGAGCCAGAGCTGGCTAGGGCCGAGGGGGCAGCGGGGGCGGGTCGAGGAGACGGCGGACCGGGGCCCCCACCAAGGCCTATTCTATTCGTTTTCAAGATCGGGCTCTCGATTGGGACTTCCTGCGACGCCATCCTATACTTACATGCATACATACATTAGTATACATCTTTTTGTAGACACATATGATGCCTGTGTGTTTACACATCTATGTATACATGAATTCACATATATATATATATACATTTCACACGCGAACACGCAGTACCCAATATAAGTTTACATGTCATACATTATACATACATTTAGCTATACGGAAGCAAATGATAACATCGTCAGATTTCACAGGGTGAATTCTGAGCAACTCCAGATTCGCCGGGCGAAATTCCTACTAGTAGAATTTCACCGGGTGAAATGTGATGTTCGCCAGTTTTTTTTTTTTTTTTTTTTTTTTTTTTTTTTTTTTTTTTTTTTTTTTTTTTGTTTTTTTTTTTTTTTTTTTTTTTCTTCCTCACCCGATCATTTTTTTTCGCCGGACCCAGCGGGTGAATTTTTTCCGCCGGAGAGTACCTCTGGGTCGGCGCTGCTGACTCAGCGGCGCGGGCGCGCCGCCGGCGGCCCGCGCGCCCTGGTGAAGCCACGGGGCCCGGGCGCCGAAGGTGGTCCGGAAGCGCCCGTCCTGGTCGTAGCCGAAGAAGAGGGCTTGCCAACTTCAAGGGGGGTCAGGCGCTGGTCCACGCTCTTGAACTCGATGAACGTCCAATGAAAGTTGTCCGGCGCCATCTTGCGGATCAGGTCGTTCATCGGCCTGGGCAGCTCATCCCCGAGGGCCGGCTGCCTCCACTCCTTGTCGTCGCCGAGGCCCTGCGCCCTGGCCCCGGCCAGCGCGATGCGGTTCAGGAGGCTCCGTGCCCTTCGGCGTTCCGCCTCGGTGAGTGGGGTCTCGTCTCTGGCGTCGAAGGCGGCCGCCTGCTCGTCGGAGACGTCGCGCGGCAAAGGGCCTCCCAGAGGGGCGCGCTCGTGATGCCCCGAACACCTCCTCGCCAAGGCGAGGGCCCATGGGTGCAAGCCCTTGCTCGCGAGCCACATCGTGAGCTTCCGGCGCCTCTTGCTCGGTTGGTCCGGAGGTGCCGGGCCCCGCTCGCACATCGCGATCGCAATGATCTTCGCACCGGTCCTCTCGATGAGCAGCTTGATCCGTTTGCGGTCTCAGATCTTAGGCCGCCGTCCGTCTCTGCAGCTGGGCTCGGGGAGCCACTCCCGGTCGTTCGCGCCAAGCCGCTCGGCGACGTCGGCCGCGAAGTCGGTGCAGATGCTCGCGGCCGCCTCCTCTGGGTCGGTGCCGTCGCCGTCGGGCTCCTCGAATGTCCGAGCCCCTCCGCTCGTCAACTTCCAGGCCGCATGGGTGCCGCGCGGCGGCCCGAGCTGCCAGACATTGGTTTCCTCTGGGCCTGGCGCCGCGCCCGCGTCCAGCAAGATGCGCCCCCGCACCTCTGGCCGCAGCGCGTCGCGGTCCGCTCGCGGACCCGTCTGAAAGAGCGGCTGCTCGTAGAGCTCCACGGGCCCCGACGCCGGGGAGCCAGCATCGGCCATCGCCGCGGGCCAGCGCCCGGCGCCGGCGAAGATCCCCCTCGTCCTGACGCCCCATGCGAACGCAGGCCGGCGCAACAGGAGCTCCAGCTGCTGGAAATCGACGCCCCCCTCCTCGGCTGTCGTCGGAGCCTCCCCGCCGGCGCCTTCCCTGATCTCGCAGGCGGCCGCTTGCTGGCGCCTGCAGTGCGCGCAAGGCGGGGGGCGGCTGGGGATCACGGGGCCGGCTGCATTTTCGGTCCCCAGGTGCATCTCCCAGCCATGTGAGATGAACTCCCTCTACAGAAGCCAACATGGCATCTTGAATACTTTACCCCGCAAGTACTCTGCGGGGTACTCTGCGGCTCTTTCGCGCTTTTCTTTAAAGTATTATGCAAGTACTCTGCGGCGCCAGTCTTTCTCGCATATTTTAAATGACCTAGAAAATGTACTATGCATTTTGCCCTGTCCTCGTTTGCGGCGACTTCTCATTTTGCGCGATGGCCCGCGACGACAGCGCCAAGGTTTAAACAACAGAGGAGGAGGTAGTATATGAGGGCGCATGGAGGATCGGAAAAGGGCGGCCCGCGTAAGGGGTGATGCAGAAGGGAGGAGGACGTGAAACAGTAGACGGTGATAGTGCGTGCGGGAGGCATGGGTTGCGGCAGCAGGGTGGCAATATCAGGTGGAACACAGAAGTGTGGAGGGGGGGTTGGCGTTCCGCCAAGTTCGCTTGTAGCAACATTCATGTGTTCAGTGATATTTGTTTGTTATGGTTGCCTTGGGGCACCTTGTCGGCGCGGTTGGGCGCGGTCCGAGTGGGCTGTGGAGCCCCCCATTGGGCCACGAACCGCGTGAGGGATGTGCCGAAATGGGCGGCGGGCTGCATCGGCGGCGCAGTATCACCAGCAAGCTCAACACCATCGTGCAAACACAAAACACAGAGGCAAGCTCGTTCAAGCCACTTTGGCTCAATGCTGAGGCGGGGCTCCTCTGCGCACCAGCGGCGCAGGGCCGCGTGCCCGCCCCGCCTAGGAAGCGCGGGCGTCCATCTTTGTTGAGGCGAGTTCTTGATGGGGATACCGCGGGTGCTTCTTCAGACGGCGATGCCGACCATGCTGCGCGCGGCGCTGCTCTCGCGCCCAGGCGCGTCCGCAAGAGTCAGGAGAAGGCTCCAGCATTGGTGATGGCCCCGAAATGCCTCATCGCACACCCGCAGAAAAGCCTCGCGCCTGTTCCGTCGTTTGAGCTGGGGGCTTTCCTTTACGCCGGCGTCAGCGAGTTTCAGTTCGGACATTGCCAATTTCTCCAGCCGCAGTTGATAGAGCTTGCCAAGGGATTCTCGCGTGCACCCAGTAACTACAGCATCAGCAGGACACTTACGACAGCGGGCCATGATCTTGGAATGACTACTGACTGGGTGTCGACACAGCGGCGGAGGATTGCATCATCAGGGATTTTGGTCGAGCGAGACGGTCAGGTAGCATTGCAGGTCCTCCTCTTCCTCCTCCTCCTCCTCCTCCTCCCCCTCCTCCTCCCTTCTTACCTCCTACCTCCTCCCTCCTATCTCCCCCCCCCTCCCTCCTCCCTCCCACCTCCTCCGCCCCGCTTCCTCCGCCCGCGCGCCCGAGAGGTCCTTCTCGGCAGGGCAGTTCCAGATGACGTTGGGCTGGTCGCGGCCATTGAGAGCGCGAGGTACGACGGGGCGACCAACCTGATGACGGTGAAACAAGACAGCTGCATTCCAGAGTTTCAGAACCACGCGGACACGGCCCTCGATCGACTTGGCAAAGTGACTGGTTTCAAAGAAACGGCGCCAGCAAAAATGTTCCAGAATCAGCTCTCGCACGGATTTCTATTTGCAGTTCGCAAGCCAGGGTGCGAATCAAGACAGTACATTATCATACGGACAAACACAGTTGGCTCACCAAGCGTTCTTCAGCGAACAACGGCGCCAATCATAGCTCAAGCTTTAAATAAGTCGAGCAGTCTGAAATGTAGGGCGGTCGCTGCTGCTACATGCCTGGCCCGCTTGATTTGCAGCGACCGCTGCGCCGCGCAGTTCCTGGCGGAGTCGCGGCTGCAAGCCGATCGGCCTGGATTGCGCCGTGTGCGCATAGGTTTCGGGGTGCACAAGTCGACGGCCTGCCAGGCGAAGGGTTTGTTGTTGGCTGATTGGTGCGTGTCTGGCTGCATTCGGGCATCTTTGAGGTTGCGTCTTGGTGGATGGATGCGAATATTCAGGCAGTGCTTGCTTCCGGAAATATCTTCAACCATTTGTATCAAGCAGGGGTGTTGCCCACCAGAGGCGACCAGGCATCGACAGATGCGTTTGCGGGTGTACTCTGGGCACAACGTCAGACGCCAGAGAAAGCTTCAATGTATCACGCAATGCCTTCTCAATGGTGATTGGACTCGCACGGACTGCATTGAGGTGTACCTGCAGCTAGGTGTTGCATACGACGAGAACAACGTCGCTGGCCTCGTCGCAAAAGGTCTGATGTTGTGCCTCGCTGGAAACATGCTTAAGATATTCAACAGGAAGCGTTTGACAGACAACGACGAAGCCGTGAATGAGCTTGGGCTCTTGCAAGCTTGCCGCGGGCTTCTGGCTAGAGTGTTCAAGCGGTGGCTCGTGCAAGCCGGGTGCAACGGCAATCTGGACATCGGGGTTGGCGGCCACCCGAGCAGACGCGACAGACCTGCACTACTACATCCAATAGCCGACGACGTCAAGCCCGCTGCTGGCCTGGTTGGACCTCCCGCAGTCGGCGACGACGGAGGTGGCGGTGCCCCCCCCCCAGGAGGTGGCGACAGAGGAGCGCCTGCCAAGTCTTCAGATAAACAAAACGCGTACGCCGAGCAGAAAGCGAAGAATCGGAGGATTGCTCTGCGTTGGGTGAACGGGGAACCTACCAGCGACCTTCTCGTTATCAGGTTGGCAATGGAATCATCCATGATGGTATTGCGGCAGCAGCTGCGCATCGGTTCAGCATCTTGGGAGAGGTCGCAAGCGATTCATGCTGCAAGTGGAGGCGCCACGAATGGGCAACGAGATTACAGAATATTGGTTTCCGCCAGGGGCGGTCTAGACACGCTGTTCGCCGACGCCAACCGCCAGTTCATAACAACCGAGGGGTCTTTCTGCGTGGTGACGCCTGAAAGCAGCATCACTGAGTATTGGAGGCGCTTGGCGTTCAGAATGGCAAGCAGGGCGGCTGCGGAGTACACGAGGCTTCTGACGTTTGTTCACAAAGGCCGCCTTTCTTGTTGTTTCTCGTCGCGCACTACCCCGCCGTCGCGTTGCAGCCGAGGCAGTTGCCCCACTGTTTGCCGGGCCCCTTCACGAAACGCATCATGGACACATCCGACTTCGAGTCTCCAGAGCTGAAAGGGTTCCTGACGCTGCTCATGCTGATGGGGTACGCGGACACTGCGGAGACCGAGCGCCGGCATGCTTGGGCGCGCCGCTTCCTCATTCGCAGGAGCGCCCAAGCTCGCAGGCCAGGAGTTTGGGGGCGCGAACGCAGAGGCATTCGCCCACAGGCTGAAGGTTCGGAGCCTTGAAGTGCTGGAGTGGCTGCGCGCCGACGAAGTGAGCCAGTGCCGCGCAGCGTTCAACGCGGGGGGAGATGGCGATGAAGATCCACCCAGCAGCAAGGCCAAACAGAAGCAGAAGCGCGGCGGAGGTGGCGAGTGGAGGGCGTTCGTCAGCAGCCAGCTATACCAGGGCACTACGGACTTCCATGAGATGCCACCCCGCTACTGGGCACGGACCGAAGCAGAGAGGCATGACAACATTCGAGCGGGGGCTGTCGGCGCAGATCTGCACAGGCAAGGGCAGCGTGCATTCGGGCCGACACTGAAGGATCGGCGCGCGCATGATTTGCACAACGAGGCTCTCGCGTTCGACCGCCGACGCCCTTTGGAGGATATCGCTTGCGCGTCGTCGGCCCCAGCACCGACCGCCGCGGCGATGGAGGGCCGCGCGGAGGACCGAGTGCAACATACGATGGCTTGGGTTACCGCCGTCTGCAAGTTTGATCATCAGCGGCGCCAATGGCGTGAAGAGCGGGGCGCCGCGGTGATCAAGGAGTTTGTCAGGGCACAGTCAGACGAGATTCTACGAGAAGTGGTATCTCGCATCAAGGGGGTGAGCCCTTGGGCTGGGAAGCTCGCGGCAAAGCCTGCCCTGAGGCTTCCAGGGCTTGATATTACTTGTTGCGATGCCTGCTTCGAGACTGACTTCTTGACTTTCTCTACTGCCAAGATGCGTGCCACTGCCCCGAGAGCTGGGGGCAATTGGGCGGCAACCGTGGATAACCATTGGACGGCCGGCCACAGGCCAGCGCTCGAAGGAGAGTGGCGCGGGCCTACGACGTGCGATGACACACAGACGCAATGTTATAAGTACGGGTTGTGCATATGTAGCAAGCCAGGCCGCAAAGTTTTGCGATTGCGCAACTCCGTGCTGACAGCGATCAAGGATATCGGCCCCTTGCGCTCTGACAAGCGGGACATGCTGGTCGATGGCTTCACGGCGATGCGCCTCACGGGCGCCCCCGTTGACCCCGTGTTCGCTGGATTTGATGGCCCAGAGCTCGAAGCAACGGACTCGGCTGTGGTGTGGTGGCATATTTCTGGGCTGCTTCTTCTTCCATATCCCCCTGTCGTTCAACCAATGGACTTCGCTTTCGACGGGGGCAGGCATGGCGCACTTGGCGGCGGCGCAGCTACGTTGCAGGCAGCTCGGAGAGGGGGGGGGGGGGGAGGAAGAAGGGGGGGGGGGGGTGGGGGGGGGGGGGGGGGGGGGGGGGGAAGGTCGGAGCGGCGTTGGGGCCCGCGCGCGCGCCCGCAGGCATGCTGCGAGCACTTGGTGGACTTCGAGGCCTTCGCGGAGCTGGACATCGAGAACTACACCTGGAGCTTGAAGTTTTACAGGCTGTGCCAGACTCCTGTTCAGCTGCCGCGGTGGGAGTTCATTCTAAAGTGCCAGCGCGCCCTGCCCGTTGATTATGAAGAAGTTCAGGCGTGGCCGCCCCCGCGGCGCCCCCAACCCCCGAAATCAGGTCGCGGGGGCAGGGGTCGGGGGGGCGGGGCGCGGCCGCGGAGGGGGCAGATCAAGGGGCGGACGGGCAAGAGGTCCAGGGGGCCGATGGGGATCCAGCACCCATCGTGGACGAGACCCTGGAGGCCCATCTGATGGCAGCGATGGTGGTGCCCCTCTCGAGGATGTCTACGACGACGACGACCCTGGCGCCGACGAGGGGGGCGAAGGCCGTGGGGGCCCGCACGGGGACCCAGGGGAGGTGCTCATTCCAGACGATCTCCAGGAGACGCGGGCGGTTGCGCTTCGCCCATGCCCGCGCCCCTCCAGGTTGAGGAGGAGGGGGGCGCAGGAGGATGATGAGGATGGGGGAGGGGAAGGGGGAGGAGGAATATGAGGAGGGCGGGCGGGTGGGATGGCGATGATGAGGGGGGGGGGGGGGGAAGAGGATGAGCAGGATGAGGAGGAGGACCGCCGATGTTCAGAGACATCGACCCCCAATCCTCTTGGGTCGAAGTTCCAAACTTCAGAACTCCCAAGGACCGCTCAAGGCTGAACGCATCCTCGGCGTCAGAATCCAACGCCCGAGGGGTCTAGGTTTTCCGAGCGCTCACTACGTCAAAAGGCTGCCCGCCCGCCCGCCTACCCCAGGAGGAAATCATGCGCGCGGAGTTTCTCGAAGACGAGCCACCGCACGACGAGACTGATGATGGCGATCAGGCCGACGGAGACGGTGGTCCCGGCGTCGAGGGCGACGACGGCGGGCACGGGGGCCTGCTCGCGGGCGACGCTGACATCCTCGTTGGCGCCGGGGGCGCAGCGGCGGCAGCTGGTGCAGCTCGCGACATTGATGCAGCCGCAGCCCCTCCAGCGGGAATTGATCATGGCCCTCGGGGCCGTGCAGACGCTATTGCATATGTAGACGGTGGCAAGATATCGCTCTATTTACGGAGTCGTAGATTTGAAGCTGTTTGTGCAAATCCAGACCATGGAATCTGCAAGACGGCGCGAGTGATTGAGTTCGGCCACTTGGCTCCGAGGCCCCTCTAGCTTATTCGGCCGCGTGGCTCGACAAGGGCCACGCGGCATCGAAACCTGCGCGTCGGTCAGCTGGGAACGAGCCAACGGCTGCTGAGACCAGCGCGGCCAGGGGCGACATGAAATCAAGCGCTGACCCCGACGCAGTGGAACTTCTCGAAACGGAGCGGCGCGGGTACCCCGATGCTGGTCTGTAAGGCGCTGCATATTTCTGCGTTTTTCTGGCAGAGCGCAACCGGCCTCTTTGGCAAAGCGCCTCTTCGGATCCCCTGCCTATCCGCGTCAGCCATTCATTCCTGCCTTGCCCCCTCCCCTCTCCTTCCACGCGAATGCGGGGTCGGCGAGGGGGTGGGGGGGAGGCAGGCGCGGGGGTGGCCCGCCTTTCAGGGCCGACGAGGGAGTTAGCAGCTAGCATCCAAATGCAAACCAAAAAAGCGCGAGGCTGCGCATGGGGGAGCGGGAAGGGGGCCGAGGGATAGGGCAGGGAGGGGCGAGAGGTGCCAGGTCCGAAAGAGGGTGCTCGAAAACGGCCCCATCGCCCCCCCCCTCCCCCGCTGCCCGACCTCCTCTCAGGATCCACCCCGCCTGCCGCCCCGTTTGCTGGCAGAGAACTCGATCCACGATGCCGCCGATGCGACTTCGATGCAACGCCGGTGCACTTGCGCCATGCCCCCAGGAGATCTCCCTCGCTCACACCCTCCACATCCTTGCTGGCTGGCCCTTTGCGATAACGTTGCGGCCCGCCGCCCGAGGCGGCCTCGGGGCGGCAGAGTTTCTACAGAGCACGCCTGCGCCAGCTTTCGAGGGGGCCTCGTCCTGCAGACTGCTTGGCCGAGTGCGCTCCGACCGAGGTACTCCGTCAGAGTACTTGCCCGACGGCGCTCCGACCGATGCACTCTGCCAGAGCACTTGCTCGCCCCCCCACCCCCCCCGACCGAGGTGCTCCGCCGGGCGACCCCCCCGCCCGCAGAGTACCCCGCAGAGCGCCCTGCGCCCCCGCCCCCCCGCGCAGAGCACCCCGCAGAGTGCCCAGCAGAGTACTTGCAGCGTACTTTTCTTCGGAAGCAAATACTCTGCAAGTACTCTGCAAAGTACTCTGCAAAGTACTCTGCAAAATGCCCTGCGCGGGGGATACTCTGCAAAGTACTCTGCAGAGTACTCTGCGCGGGGGGGTACTCTGCAAAGTGCTCTGCGCGGGGGGGGGGGGGGGGGGCCCTCTGCAAAGTACTCTGCAATGTACTCTGCGACCCGATGGGGCTGGGAGAGGTACTCTGCAGGGTGGTCTGCGGCCAAGGGCGTCGCCGAGAGGTGCCCTGGCAGAGTGCGTGGGGCCCAGAGCGAGGCCCAAGGAACAGGGGTTGGTGTCGTTCTACTCGAACCCTCCCCCGCCCCCCCTGCTCGCGCGCCCGCCCTTGGAGTCGTCCTCTGCAACCTTGTCGGTTTCATCCTCCGCTCCTTTTCCTGATCGCGCTCGCCATTGATCCAGCCTCCTCACCAACCTCGAGTAACCTCCCACGTGCCAGGCTGCATTGCGTCAATTCGCAGAGCTCGCGCAGATACTGCTGCATTGGGGATCTCGCTGATTTTGGATTCGCGTAAGGAATTCGCTAGGTCGCTGGTGGATGCGCACGACGGCAGGGGCATGGCCTTGGCAGCCAAGCAATGCGACCAAAAACGTGCGTGCCAGAGGCGGGGGAGGAGGAGGAGGACGAGGAGGAGGAGGAAGGGGGCGAGGGGGGGGCAGGAGGAGGACGCGGTCGAGCAGCTCGACGAAGAGGGAAATCCTGACAACACGCGTTTTCAAGTTGGCGGGGGATGAGGAACATGAGAAGGAGGGGGGGGGCGGGGGGGAGGAGGAGGGGGAAAAAAAATGATGCGACGCATGCACTGCGCGCTCGCTGCGTCTTAGCTGAGCGCGCGGGCGGGGGGGGGGGGGGGGCTCCTTGGGAGAGAGGGGGCTCTCTTGGCCTTCGGATCTCCAGAACTCCAGGCGCACTTGGGGCCCTCATGATCCCACTCGGGCAGTCTCGCGGACCCGATGTTGAGCCATCATGTGGCCCATTGGTTGCGGCCCTCTAATATCCCAGCTGCTGGGAAGGTCAGTCTCAAGATGTTGCATTCGAGTGATGGTTTCAAGTGTCTTTGAACTTGTGGACTTCTCCAAGTATGTCTCTCGCAAAGTCACTGAGCTCCTATCGGGGATCCATGGGCCCCGGGTAATCTGTCAACCCAAATTAAATAATAACTGCCCCAATTTCCGCCCCTGTGATGTCCTTGTAATTTGCGAGGGCTTCCGCCGCTCCTCCTTGCACCCTCGCTCCGAAGGTAAGCTCTGGGAAGGCGTGTAGCCTGACGGGGTAAACTGCGTTGGTTTCACATGCCAGCGAGAGCTCGCACGGGGATTCGTCTTCCTCCAAGGGGCCTTCGTGGAAGGGGCCCCAGAGGGCCCCGAGACGGCCCAAGAGGGCCCTAAGACAGCTCCTAGAGTAGGCTCCCAAGAGGGCAGAACTCCGTCAAATATTATATACGCGGTTTGGGCTTGGGCTTCTAAGAAGAGAGCCCCGTTCCAGCGACCCTTCAAGCCCTCGGGAATCCAGGGGGGGGGGGGGCCCATGAGAGCGCCCTTGGGGTCTCGAGACAGCCACCGCGCCCATTAGAGGGCGAGGTGGGGTAAGTGTCACGCTTGGCACGCGTGTGCCATAGTATCCACCGTTGTCCTTGCGTAGCCATGTTGGCTCGACGCGCGACCGCGCGTTTTGGCGATATCGCCAGGTATTGCTTCAACGACAGCATTCGACTACAGACTTCCACGCACCGCGCAGCGTATCCATGGCGAAGCGGGCCAGGGAACCTAAGGGAAAGAAGGGAGAGGCTGCGGCCTCTGGCTCGCGCCGTCGCCAGGATGACGATGGGGATAGCACCGGCCTGGCTGGTTCGTCGCAGCCCAACAAGCTTGCGAAGTCGGGCCGCCGACAACCTCGCTCCGCTAACCCTGGAGATCCTCCTCGCGGGCCTGAGGCTATGATCTGCACGAGGTGCAAAGAAAACAACAAGGATAAGCTGTTCGCGTTGGACCAGAAGCTGCCCCTTGCAAAGCCCGACCAGCGTTGCGACTGCTACTGCATCTGGGTGCCCCTCTCGATGCTGCTGCAACGGGATGGGTTCTGCACTAAGTACGAGAATGACGAGGGCTTCAGGCGGAGGGTCAAAGCTGCGTCCAAGAACCCCAACAAGATGACGACGCACTACTCAGGCTTCTTCAAGATGGACGCGGCCAATGTGCAAGAGTTTGGCATCGAGCTATCTCGGAACGGCAGCTTCCTCACGGAAGCGCAGGTGAGGGAGGAGTTGGGCCAGGCTCCAAAGCAGGCCAAACTCGGAGAACCCGTCCCGCTAGATCTCCCCATGGCGATGCACAGAGTGGCTATTTGTTCATGAACGCGAAGAGCAAGACCCTGGACGTCAAAGTATTTGCAATTACTTCTGTCGGTTCGTCGGCGTTCACCGCCAACAGGGACGACCAGACCATGGACATCGGCTCCGAGGCGCTACAACGAGCTTTCGACGAACCCGGCGACAGGAAGACGGCTCTCTCGAACTTCCTGGTCGGCAAGGCGCCGCATCTGAAAGCTGAGGGGGCCGCCCCCCGCTTTGGCAGGAGAGAGCGGAGGCGCAGGCTGAGAGAGGAGCTTGGCCCCGATGGAGATGAGAGTGGCGATGGTCAGCGAGGCGGCGGCGCCATTACAAAGAGGAGTCGTCGCTGCGGCAGCCGCATTGCCACCAGGGCGGTGCGCTCTGGGGCCGATGGCACTTTGAGCCCAGGCGCTGCCCTGTCGGGCGGGAAAGGCCCCTCGGGGTCCCCGAAGGGGAACCTTGCCATCATCGTGGACATCGGCGACGGCAAGAAGTTGAATGCGGTGTCAATGTTGGAGATGGAGGAGTCCGGCGACGTCCACGGCGGCTCGAAGGCTGGAGACCTCGACGATACCGCGAGCAGGGGAGCGACATGAGCAAGAGCAGCAAGGCCATCGGAGATGGGGGCAATAAGCTGAAGAGGGGCGAGGCCTTACCGTGCAGCTACTGGATCAAAAAGATACCTTTGGGCGTTGTGTTAAAGTCAGACAAGTCTGATAGGCGGGACGTCCGTCAAGCTGCAGCGGCAGTGGGCCGAGAGTCGGGAAAGTCGCAAGCAAATCAGGACAATGACTTGGGCAGGTTGAAGACGCACCTGAGGAGCGTCGACCACGCAGTGGGCCTCTGCCAGTCGGGGGCGGCATCTTGCGACGACGGCAATCTCTGGGGCGCTTTGAAGGCAATGGAGAGAATCAAGCAGCCGCTGCCGCGCGCGACCCTCCTCGGACTGCTCGAGCGCTACGCGGGCGCGCTGGCGAAGTCTATGCTGATCAGTGGCCGACAGGATGACATCGCCAAGCGGTGAGCAATGGAATCAAGATTTTCCTACCAACCCTCCTTGGTTGGGCATTCGTTTTGAATGGGGCAGTGTGGTCTCCACTCCTTCCTCCTCCCCCCTCCTTCCCTGCCTCCTCCTGTCTTGCCTGCGGGGGGCTGCGACCTGTGAAACTGCCGCCATTTTCGAGGCCTGCTGGGGGGCCCAGCACAGCGAGGGCGACGCGCGGATTCAAATTAGACCTCGCCGTCCCTGGGGGGCTGCGACCTGTGAAACTGTCGCAATGTTCGAGGCCTGCTGGGGGGCCCAGCACAGCGAGGGCGACGCGCGGATTCAAATTGGACCTCGCCATCCCTGGGGGGCTGCGATCTGTGAAGCTGTCGCCACTTTCGAAGCCTGCTGGGGGGCCCAGCACAGTGAGGGCGACGCGCGGATTCAAATTAAACCTCGCCGTCCCTGGGGGGCTGCGATCTGTGAAACTGCCGCCATTTTCGAAGCCTGCCGGGGGGCCCAGCACAGCGAGGCGACGCGCGGATTCAAATTGGCCCTATCCTGGGGCGGCTTGATCTGTGAAACTGTAGCATTTTCGAAGCCTGCTGGGGGGCCCAGCACCGTGAGGGCGACGCGCGGATTCAAATTAAACCTCGCCGTCCCTGGGGGGCTGCGATCTGCGAAACCGTCGCCATTTTCGAAGCCTGCTGGGGGGCCCAGCACAGTGAGGGCGACGCGCGGATTCACATTAGACCTCGCCATCCCTGAGGGGCTGCGACCTGTGAAACTGTCGCCATTTTCGAAGCCTGCTGGGGGGCCCAGCACAGTGAGGGCGACGCGCAGATTCAAATCAGACCTCGCCATCCCTGGGGGGCTGCGACCTGTCAAACTGTCGCCTCTTTCGTGCGCCTGCGGGGGGCCCAGCACAGTGACGCCACGGGCGGATTTCAAATTAGACATCGCCATCCTGAGGGGGGGGGGAGGGGTGGGGGGCTGCGATCTGTGAAACTGTCGCCATTTTCGAGGCCTGCTGGGGGGCCCAGCACAGTGAGGGCCACGCGCAGATTCAAATTAGACCTCGCCATCCCTGGGGGGCTGCGATCTGAGAAACTGTCGCCATTTTCGAGGCCTGCTGGGGGGCCCAGCACAGTGAGGGCCACGCGCGGATTCAAATTAGACCTCGCCATCCCTGGGGGGCTGCGATCTGTGAAACTGTCGCCACTTTCGAGGCCTGCTGGGGGGCCCAGCACAGTGGGGTCACCGCGGATTCAAATTAGACCTCGCCATCCCTGGGGGGCTGCGATCTGTGAAACTGTCGCCACTTTCGAGGCCTGCTGGGGGGCCCAGCACAGTGACGCCACGGGCGGATTCAAATTAGACCTCGCCATCCCTGGGGGGCTGCGATCTGTGAAACTGTCGCCACTTTCGAGGCCTGCTGGGGGGCCCAGCACAGTGACGCCACGCGCGGACCCAAATTAGACCTCGCCATCCCTGGGGGGCTGCGATCTGTGAAACTGTCGCCACTTTCGAGGCCTGCTGGGGGGCCCAGCACAGTGACGCCACGCGCGGACCAAAATTAGACCTCGCCATCCCTGGGGGGCTGCGATCTGTGAAACTGTCGCCACTTTCGAGGCCTGCTGGGGGGCCCAGCACAGTGACGCCACGCGCGGACCCAAATTAGACCTCGCCATCCCTGGGGGGCTGCGATCTGTGAAACTGTCGCCACTTGCGAGGCCTGCTGGGGGGCCCAGCACAGTGACGCCACGCGCGGACCCAAATTAGACCTCGCCATCCCTGGGGGGCTGCGATCTGAGATCCCCGCTTTCGAAGTGGCTAGGGTTGCTCAGGGGTTGTAACTAATCAGCTGTATCTAGTCCTTGTCCTGTAGCCAGTGTCCTGCGAATCTCCCGGATTCCGTCTGCAGACATATGTAACCCTCGCTCCGCCATCGCCCCCCTTATAAACTGTTCTAAACTATTTGCGCCCCGCGTTTGCGCAGGGGTTGGGTACGTCGCCCGGGTAATTAAAGAAAAACATTAAACGTAGTTTTAATAGGTTGGACCGTTGATTCTTGAACCCGCGCCGCCGCACAATTAAATCCAGATTTACTTTTTCCAGCGAGTGCGATTCGATCGCGCGGTGTCTCTATCATACAATTCTGAAACGGAGCCTTTCGGGGTCTCAGCGTTTCGGGCTTTTCAGGTCTGGCTCTGTCGTGTCTGAATTTTTCTGGCCCTTCGGTTCTGGGCCTTTCGGGTCCGACTTGTTTTCTCATTTCTCGGGTTTCAATGGTTGGATCTGCGCGGGTCTGAATCTTCTGGGTCTGAGTCTGGCAGGTCTGCGTTGCTTTGTTTTGTCATGGGGGTCGTTTTTCTTGTGTGTGTGTGTTTTACGGGCCTGACTTTCCGTGCGTTTCTGGTCTGAGTCTTCCGCGTGGGTTGTTCTGATTCTTTTGGTCAGAGCCTTTCGGGTTTGAGTTGTTTGCTTTTCTGGTCTGAGCCGTTCTGGCCTTCGGGCCTGAATATTTGATCTTCCGTGTTTGGGTTACTTTCCCCACCGGGTCTGAGACTCTAGGCTATTCTTTCATGTCGATGCATTTCGGGCCTGACCCTTTCGCATTTGTCTCGTCCGAGGCTTCCGTGTCTGAGGTTTTCGTGTTTTTATATCGTCTGACCTTTGTGGGGCTGACTTCTCGCGATCATCTCGCGTGAGGCTGTCGATCTCAGTGTTGTGTCCGGTCTGAATCGCCCGTGCCTAATTTTTCTGTTGTTGTTTTTTTCCTAAGCAGAGTTGCTAATCTTTTTCGGGCCTGAGTTTTTTTGGAGCTGAGTTGGTGTTGCCGACCCGCGAGGGACACGAAGCAAGTGGGGCAAGTGGGGCAGGCGGGGTCTCCACTCTCGGGTGCGCCTCGTGGTGCATCTTGGAAAGCGTGCCTCCTAAGGCCTTGTCGAGCCCACGCGCGCTTGAGATTCCCAGGGAGACGGCCGAATTTCCAACATAATTTCCTCCGACACGGCTCCCATGCGGAAAAAAACAACGAACCCTGCTCGCGCCCAGAATTACAAACGATGCGTGTTTCATAGTTTCGCTATTTTTTGAATCGCAGGGGGCTGTCTGGTTCCAATGTGCTTTTCGGCTGCAATAGCGGCCTCGGAGGAAATCATGTTGAAAACTGGAGCGGGGGATCAGGCATTCTTTACGGAATTGGTAGCTTTCTCAGCCCATGTCCGAAGGCGTCGGGGCCACGCGTATGGCCCGCAGAAGGGCCCAAGCCGGCTCCAAGAGATCCCCAAGACAGTCTCGAGGCGCAAGGCGGCGTCAGTAACGCCTAAAAGGGTTCCCAAGCGGCCCCCATGACCCCATGTCGGCCGAATGGAACGTCTTCGAGAGGGGCAACTGAGAATCCTCCCTGTTTGATTGATATATCAGAAAATTGCCTTAGAGTGCCCCAAAAGCTTCCCAAAAGGCCCCCCAAATGACTCCAAGACGGCCCCAAGAGCACCCCTAAAGGATCCGACGAAGCGAGTTGTCGGGCCCCAGAGGGGGGTAATTAAAATAATACCCCCCTCCCCGTGTTTGGTCGATATCCTCCCGGATGGCCTGGCTCCGGAAGTTCCGAAAATGGCTACCAGGAGGGCCTCTCGAAGTATCTAAGACGGCCCCTCAGAGGGCCCTCCGATGGCCAAGAACGGCCACACGAGACCCTCCACACTGCAAAGCGCCAAGAGAACCCCCAAAATGCCCAAGGGAACCGCAAGGACGGCATCATCATCATCATCATCATCATCATCATCATCATCATCATCATCATCATCATCATCATCATCATCATCATCATCATCATCATCATCATCATCATCATCATCATCATCATCATCATCATCATCATTATCATCATCATCATCATCATCATCATTACCATCATCACCATCATCATCATCAGCATCATCAGCATCATCATCATGGTGGCGGTCGTCATCATCATCACAACCATCATCATCATCATCGTCGTCGTCGTCGTCGTCGTCATCAACATCAACATCGCCATCATCGTCTAAATCATCGGCAATATCAAAATCATCATCCTCGCCAGCGTGGTGATGATCGTCGTCGTCGTCGTCTTCGTCATCATTGTCATCACCGTTACCATCGCTATCTTCATCGTCATCGTCATCGTCATCGTCGTCATCATCATCAACATCATCACCATCATCATCGTCATCATCATCATCGGAATCATTGCCACCCCCATCGCCCGCCTCGTCCGCCAAAATCCTCCTCATCCTCATCATCCGCCATTCCTTGCCGCCATGCCGTCTTCCTTATCCACACCCTTCTCAACATCAGCATCATCGTCATATCACCCTTATTCTCCTCATCCTCGTCCTCGTCCTGCTCCTCCTCATCCCCCTCGTCTCCCCCGGGGGCGGCGCGCGCAAGAGAGAGAGAGAGAGAGACAAGTATCCCGGCAAAGCAACCTAACCGCGATGTGTAAAGCATATCCGGAAGCATTCCCCTTAAGATTCAGATGAGAATCCAGTTGTAGAATTCTGCTGTTCTCGCAGTCGCAGTCGCATTCGCAATGACAGTCGCAGTGGCAACGGCCTTAGGATCCAATGGAATCCTAAGGATTCCTAGGGGTTCCTGAGGCATCCTTAGGCATCCTTAGGAATCCATAGGAATCCTTAGGAAACCTTTGGAATCCTTAGGAATCCTGATTCCTAGGGATTCCTAGGGATTCCTGAGGATTCCGGAGGAATCCTAAGGATTCCTGAGGATGCTTAACTATGCCGACTATACCTACGGATTCCTAAGGATGCCTACGGACTCCTAAGGATTCCTAGGGATTCCTAAACATTCCTATGTATTCCTACGGATGCCTCAGCCTGCCTCAGTTTCAGTCTCAGCCTCAGCCTGCCTCGGCTTGCCTAGCCACAGCCTCAGCCTGCCTCGGCCTCAGCCTCAGCCTCAGCCTCAGCCTCAGCCTCAGCCTCAGCCTGCCTCGGCCTCAGCCTGCGTCAGCCTCAGCCTCAGCCTGCCTCAGCCTCAGCCTGCCTCAGCCTCAGCCTCAGCTGACTCGGCATCAGCATGCCTCGGACTCAAGCCTGCCTCAGCCTCCCCTCCTCCCCCCCCCATTTCCCCCCCATTCAGGGTCACCTTGTCTCAGCCTCAGCCTGCCTCGGCCTCATCCTCAGCCTCAAGCACGTCTCAGCCTGTCTCGGCCCTGAGCCTGCTCGGCCTAAAGCCTCAGCCTCAGCCTGCCTCAGCATCAGCCTCAGCCTCAGCCTGCCTCGGCTTGCCTCGGCCTCAGCCTCAGCCTCAGCCTGCCTCAGCCTCAGCCTGCCTCAGCCTCAGCCTCAGCCTGTATCAGCCTCAGCCTCAGTCTGCCTTCAGCCTCGGCCTAAGCCTCAGCCTGCCTCAGCCTCAGCCTGCATCAGCCTCAGCCTCAGCCTCAGCCTGCCTCAGCATCAGCCTGCCTCAGCCTCAGCCTCAGCCTGCCTCAGCCTCAGCCGCAGTCTGCGTCAGCCTCAGCCTCAGTCTGCCTTCAGCCTCGGCCTCAGCCTCAGCCTGCCTCAGCCTCAGCCTTCATCAGCCTCAGCCTCAGCCTCAGCCTGCCTCAGCATCAGCCTACCTCAGCCTCAGCCTCAGCCTGCCTCAGCCTCAGCCTCAGCCTGCTTCAGCCTCAGCCTCAGTCTGCCGTCGGCCTCGGCCTCAGCCTCAGCCTGACTCAGCCTCAGCCTGCATCAGCATCAGCCGCAGCCTCAGCCTGCCTCAGCCTCAGCCTGCCTCAGCCTCAGCCTCAGCCTGCCTCGGCGTGCCTCAGCCTCAGCCTCAGCCTGCCTCGGCCTCAGCCTGCCTCGGCCTCAGCCTGCCTCAGCTCGGGCATTCAAAATATGGCACAGGACTGGTGTTCTGGGAGCACGAAGATCACGAAGTGGCCCACAGTTGGCTCGGGGCAATCAAAATATGGCACAGGAATTGTGTTCTGGGAACACGATGAACACGAAATGGCCTACAGTTGGCTCTGGGCATTCAAAATGTGGCCTGGGAATGGTGTTCTGGGAACACGAAGAACACGAAGTGGCTTACAGTTGGCTCCGGGCATTCAAAATGTGGCCTGGGAATGGTGTTCTGGGAACGCGAAGAACACGAAATGGCTTATAGTTGGCTCCGGGCGGTCAAAATGTGGCTCCTGGCAATCAAAATGGGGAGTCCCCGGTTTTCCCCGGCATCCCCCGGATCCTGCCCAGACCCCCCTGGGGAGTCAAGATGCTGTCTCTTTTAACCCCACAAGAAACCTATCAGTCTTCGCTGGGGGGGAACCTAAGCAATCAGTAGGAACCTACCTGCCCCCCTCGTTTCCCCCGGGGGCGGCGCGCGCAAGAGAGAGAGAGAGAGAGAAAGAAAGAAAGAGAAAGAGAGAGAGAGAGAGAGAGAGTATAGAAGCAGCGAGACTACGACGACCTGTATATTCCTCATCCTCCTCGTCCTGCTCCTCCTCACCCCCCCTCGTCTCCCCAGAGGGCGACGCGCGCGAGAGCCGGAGACCCAGGACGGCCCCCCAGCCTGGCTCCATAAGGGTCCGAAAAGATGAACCCAAGAAAACCCGGCAGGACGTGAGGAAGAGGAGGAGGAGGAGGAGGAGGAGGAGGAGGGGGAACGAGGAGCTAGGGAATGGGGACAGACGGAGGAGGCGAAGGGGGGGAACAGAGAGGGGCAGCAGGAGGTGGAGGGGGAGGGCGAGGGCGAGGGCGGGGGCGCATCGTCAGTGGTGCAATCCGCCGACCCCCTCCTCCTCCTCCTCCTCCTCCTCCTACCTCCTCCTCTCCTCCTCCTCCTCTTCCTCTCTCTCTCCTCCTCCTCCTCCTCCTCCTCCTCATCCTCCTCCTCATCCTCCTCCTCCCCCTCCTTTTTCTCATGCCTCCTTTCAACGGCTCTCTCAAACCCTTTTCAACGGCTCTCTCAGACCCTCTCAAAGGCTCTCTCAGACCATCCCAACGGCTCTCTCAGAGCCTCTCCACGGTTCCCTCAGAGCCGCTCCACGGCTCCCTCAGAGCCACTCCGCGGCTCCCTCAGAGCCTCTCCACGGCTCGATCGGACCCTTTTCAACGGCTCTCTCAGACCTACTCAACGGCTCTCTCAGACCCTCTCAACGGCTTTCTCAGACCCTCTCAACGGCTCTCTAAGAGCCTCTCCACGGCTCCCTCAGAGCCGCTCCACGGCTCCCTCAGAGCCACTCCACGGCTCCCTCAGAGCCTCTCCGCGGCTCCCTCTGAACCTCTCCACGGCTCCCTCAGAGCCACTCCGCGGCTCCCTCAGAGCCTCTCCGCGGCTCCCTCAGAGCCACCCCGCGGCTCCCTCAAAGCCTCTCCACGCCTCCCTCAGAGCCTCTCCACGGCTTTACGGAGCTGGAGCCGGGAGGGCGCCACCACAAAGCGGATCAATTAAATCTCGATTTAATTGCTTGTGCTGCTGTCAAACACAAGAAACACTTACATCTAGATTTAAATGTTTGGAGTCAGGAATCTGGATGATCAATTCGAACAGCACATTAAATTTAGATTTAAGTTGTTATAAATCTTGATTCCATTGATTTTCATCGCCAAGCTATGGGCAGCCGTGGTGCCTCTAGGCAGTGAGGACGCCTCCAAGGCGCCGTTCGTGGTGCGTGAGCCGAAGATGTTCATCTTGACTACTGTGTTCGAGCCTTCCGACGTGATCTGCCAACTCATCAATACCATAGTCAATGGAATATTGGTCCCTTTCGTTACTTCGACTTCAACTTTGGGCGACGAGAACGGGGCCAGTTTGACCAGGGTCTGCGCAGCAGGGCGGAGCGCAGTGGATCTCCCAGAAGATGCATACATCGAAGAGAGGTATCTCACGCTGACCTAGAACGCCACCACGCTCCTCAAGGCCATGGCCACTCTCATGTGCCCCGACATCGCTGGCGATTCCTTTGACGGGTGCGAGGCGATTGGCGAAGTCTTCGACCAGGCGGGCGCGGCGGACGAGCACATGATGACTAACGTCGGCATTGCGATCCCCGCGAAGACCTTTTTTCGGCCCTCTCTTTACCAAACTGACCGACGCAAAGTCCACCATCATCGAGAAAGGACGCAAGCTTCATCAGCTTGTCGCGGCTGCGATCGCAGCAGACACGTCGTCTGTCTCCGAGCGCGTTGCATAGATCGAGGCTGGCCTGGTCGGGCTTGAAACGCACCAGCCGCCCTTGCCACCCGAGTGCGCGGCCAGCATGCCCGCGAAGATGCTAGAGATGCTTGCGACGTTGGTCACCGAAGCCACCGTGGGCACAGGAGAGGCGTTCACTGTGTCGCAGCTGGCCGAGCTGCAAAAGGTCACTGGCTGAGGTAGCCATGTCTTCCCTTCCGAGGCGAGGGTGGGCGCCTGGATCGAGGCTGTCGGGATGAAGCCCCACGAGTCTGGCAAGACCGACTACGCGAACAGCTTGTCGGCGCTGATCGACGCCAAGTGGGGCCAGCTGGACTCGAAAGAACAGACCGACAAGGTCGAGCAACTCAAGTCCCGGGGGCGGAGGCACGACGTGGACTTGAACGAGGAGCAGATCAAGGGTCTGACGAACGCCAGGGCCGCAATGATTGAGCCAGCGTTCAAGAAGATCGGCCGCATCGACTCAGACGAGACATCGAACCTGATTGACATGATGTTGGACTGGGCGTCCAAACTGACACCGGTATTACCCAATGGAGACAATAAGAAGTTATTCAGCAAGCAGGGCAGCATATACAAGACGACAAAGGTTGCGATGACAGCACTCACAGAGTTCAAGAAGTTGGGCGACGTGCACAAGTGTACCGAGGATGACAAGGATATGGCGAAGAGTCAGCGCCTCCTCCGCCCGGCCGAGTCCCTGAGCAAACGCATCGAGCAGGTGAAAGGTTGTGGTTTCGATTGGTCAGAGGATCGTCTCATTGAGAACCTGGGCGAGGGGCTGACCCAGCTCGTCCCTGAGAGCGGATCGAAGAGGGTGGAGCTGCTGACCGATGGGGATGAAGAATGAGTGGACAACGGTCGAGAGGGGCAAGGGAGGGCACCCCGACGAAGACGGCAAGAGCTGGCTCAATGGGGCCCCCGGGGATTCGCGCGAGAAGTTCGTTGATCATTTCAAGGCCACGCTCGGGGGGATCAACGTCGAGGCCTTGGAGGCGAGCCTCGAGGAGGTCGAGCCAGACAACGAAGCAGATCGGATATATTTTCATGGAATACATGCCCGAGTACAAGGGCGCGCACGAGGTGAACCGCGCCGAGATCATCACCGAGTGCCAGATGACGGTGGCCGCTCGCCACATCACGAGAGCGATCACCACGGTCAACGACAAGGTCTTGCTGCGCACGACCATCAGGGACGTCGCCCAGACCTACATGATGAACCGCGAGCTGAAGGTGGCAGCGCCCCCCACCATCATGAGGAACGCCATCTCCCAGGGCCTCAAGCAACAGCGCATCATCGGCTAGCTGCTGATAGCTCACGAGGCCGCCGACGGCGGCCCCGCATGTCCGAGGACTTGCGGCGGGGTGGGGGATGGAGGGGGGCAGTGGGGAGGATGGCAGGGGCGAGGATGATGATGATGAGGGGAGGAGGAGCATGATGAGGAAGAGGAGGAGGGGCGCGAGGCAGGCTACGGAGGAGGAGGAAGGGGGTGATGAAGGGAGGCGGAGAGAGGGATGATGAGGGCGAGTGTGGGGGGGGGGGGGGGGGGGGGGGGGGGGCATAGGGCTTAGGATGAGGAGGAGAAACCAGGGGGTAGGGAGGGGGGAGGAGAAGGAGGAGGAGAAGGAGGAGGAGGAGAAGGAGAAGGACGAGAATCGGCTTTGAACCGCCAGTTTTGTGCTGCCCTCGAGGCGGGGGCGGCTGGCACCGCCAGCAGGGGGGCCCCGCGCGCGCGCATGCAGACGCACGCGCGCAAGCACGCGCGCCTACGCACACGCGCGCGCACACGCACACACGCACACACACACACACACACACACACACACACACGCCGACACACACACACGCACACATACGATACAACGACGTGCCTTGCGTCCCCGCCGAGATGCAGTCGCAGCACATGTCCCGCTGTGTTGCCGTGCGTTCGCAGATGGCTTCGTGAGAGCCCCGTGGCAAGGAACGCGCAAACAAGTCTCGGCGCCGCGGCCCCGAGGAAAAGAAGGTGGAGGAAGGGGGGCATGACGACGACGACGCGGGGGAGGAGGGCGCGGAGGGCGACGCGGAGGAGGATGAGGAGGACGACGACGAATGGGTGGACGAGGACGAGAGCGAGGACGAGGAGGAGGAGGGGGACGAGGAGTAGGATATGGAGAAGGGGGGATGTCCTTTGCAATTTTGGTTCGAGCCATTCGGCGGTTTGGCTCGACCTCCCTCGCGTCTACTGCGGTGCGCCCCTTGCGCGTTTCGCCGTAGCCCCGCGCGGGCTTCCATCGAATGCCCCAGCGGCCGCGGCCCCCGAATGCGCATCCCTTGTACCTCGCGCGTTCCGCTGCCCCCTCGTGGAGCTCCGCCGGATGCCTCGGCGGGCCGCGCGCCTGCGTCCGACGGTCGGGTTCTTCACGCCCCTGTTCTTGGATACTTCGGGGGCCGCGGTTTGACGGCCAGCGCTGTGCCTATGACGTTGCATTCGCTCGTAAGAGCGAATGAGACGAACGCGCGCTCCGTCGTGCAACCTCGTCATGCGCGCGGCGCGCCCCCCACGTCCGTTGGAAAGGCCTGGCCCAGCGCTCTAGATAGGCGGGCAAAGTGCGGAGCACCCAGTTCCGCGCAGAGTACACCGCGGAGTACCCGCGGAGCACCTGCGGAGTACTTAGGGAAAACACCGCGGAGTACCTCGCAGAGTACTTGCGGAGTTCTGTAGAGGGAGTTCATCCCATAATCCCAGCCCGTCGTGAGCCGCTCCCGCAGCTCCTTCCCGGCCAAAGCCCAGGTCTTGATCACCTCTCCGATGGCCTGCCGTCCGTCAATCCCGGGCGGGGGTCGGAGCGCGCGCATGTGTCCTCTGTGAATCATCAAGTGTAGTTCGCGCTGCCCTACCTTCTGGGGCAGGAGGGTGTCCAGGCCCAGCTGGTTCCAGTGGTTCACCCTCCAGACGCGGAGTGTCACGTCCTGGAGCTCCGGGAGGGTGAACAGCGTGATGCATCGGAAATCTTTGTCATGACGAAGCATCAGCGCATCGTGGCAACACATCCTCAACTCCGCCTCGCGCGGGGAGACGAAAGGCGGTGGGTCGCCCAGCGCGGCGGCTGCGGTCGTCGCCTGGTTCCAGAGGGACCGGCGAAGGACAATGGCCAGCTCGCGCACCTCGGTGATGGACGGGGCATGGCCGTGCTTGCCCAAGAGCGCACCCGCCGGGTGCAGGACCAAGCACTGCCTCTCCTCCTGAGCGTCGGCTGGGAGCCCCAGGCGCGGCGCGAGCTCGGGCTCCAGGGGCAACTTGTCCTGGTAATCCCAAAACTGCTACGTCTGGCCGAGCAGCCCCGCGGTCCCCGTACCAATCTCGCGGGCCTCATCCCAGGTCGCGGGGCTGATCATCACGTCCGGCTCCCCGCCCAGGTTGCCCGCTTTGGCGCCTATCCTGTCCAGTACAGCGCCTGCCTCCTCCGCGAGGGTCGGTCCTCCGTCGCGGGTGGCCCCCAGCAGCGCCTGCTCCAGCTCGAGCGTGACCCCTTCTGCCCAGGCCTGGGTCAGCCGGGCCAAGACGTGGGACTTGAGGTAGTCGCTGGTCTCCTGGAGCTTGTCGAGCACGCCGCTGCTCTGCACCTTGTCGATCAGGGTCTGCCGTTTGAGGGCCTCGGGGTGGTCGCACTGACTGGTACTATACACCCAGGGAAAGTCTGCATGGGCATCGAGGAGCCAAGAGTGGCCTGGACCCCGCACCGCTTCCCTCAAATCGTTCTCCATCGCGGTGCACTGGATCTCGTCGTGGGCCGCTGGGGCATTCCAGTCGACCTCCGGCCCAGCACAGCCCTCGCGCCTCGGCGGAGTCCCCGCAGCGGTCTCGGTGGATTCCAGGGACGCCAGCGCGCGCGATGGCAGGGCGGCGCCAGCGCCTCGACCGACGCGGCCCAAGGCAAGGCCCCGGGTCGTTGCTGCGTCGATGCCGAGGGCCGGAGCCGCCTCGCTGTCGTCGCGGCCAGTGTCGCACGAATGCTATCTTGTTGACGCTTACAAGTTGTTTGGGTTTTCCCCTGCCAAGACCTCTGCGCTGCCGGCGGCGGGGGCGACAGCGCACTGCGGCGCCTGCGTCGCCGCGTGCAGCGGGAAGCCCTGGCTCGCCAGCCCGGCGCTGTCCTGCAGGGCCCGCGCCCCTCGACGGGGATATGGAAGAAGCCCGCGACGACGTCGGTGGAGTCCACGTCGCGGGGCTCCGCGTAGCCGTTGACCTACTCGCAGCCTGGTTGGGGCGCGTTGACCAGGGCGCGCAGGCAGGCGATGCACTCGACGGCGGCTCGCGGCCACTGAGGGAGCCGGCCCTGGCGCATCACGATGGTCGTGCACGCGTGCCCAGGGTAGACCTGTTTGAACGCCATGCAGAGTACTTGTGCCAACCCATCGTGGTAGCGCGTGGCCGCGCCACGATGCCCTTGCGCGGCAGCTGCAACCAGCCCAGTGTGACGTTGCCGTCGAGCGCGTCCCAGGTGACCCGGCCCAGCAGGCTGGCGACGGTGGGGCCGTCGGTTGCACCGAGGCGGGCTGCTGCTTTTGCGTGCTCGGCGCGCGCGGTCCACTGCTGGGGAGCGCGGGCGACCGCCGCGGCCGCGGCCCACGTCTCGGGGTCGGTCTGCATTGAGGATGGCAGTCGCGGTGGCATCGCGACCAGGGTGTGCATCTCGGAGAGCTGCTGCATCTCGTCCGCCTATGCCTCCTCTCCGGGGCGGGAGAAGCAGTCGGCGGGGTTGGACTCGCTGGGCACGTACTCGATCCAGATGCTTATTCGCAAGACTGCCGCCAGCGGCCATATCCCCGCGACGAGGGATCGGCTGTCGGGATCCGCGGCGGATCCGGCCAGGATGTGCTCGAGCGCGGCTTGGTTGTCCTCGCACAGGACTAAGCTACGGCCTCAAAGCTGCTCGGGGCAAGACAGCAACAACATGAGGACGGCCAGTAGCTCCGATTGGGCATTGCGCTGTCGCTTGCCGGTCTTGCGCAGCTCCTGTCTCAAGTTGTCGGGCACCTCTGCTGACAGGCTCCAACCCCCTTCGGCGGTCAGGAGCACGGCGCCGAGTGCGCCCTCGCCGGTGGCCATCTCCCAGGAGCGTCTACCCAGGCGACCGCGCGCCGCCGTTTGCAATCATGGTCCTGGTAATAATCCAGCGGCATGGTCAGGAGCGCGCGCCACCAGCGGAGGCCGTGCCCGAGTTCCTCGGTCCAGCCGCCTCCGTGGGATCTGATGACCTGGGCGCACGCGCGGCCAACGCGGCCGAAGCGCGCGGTGCTTCCGAACCCCAGCTGCCCCCAGAGGCGGGACGCGTCTCTGGCGGTCAGGCGCGCGCGGCTGAGCGCTGCTTCCACGGCTTGCAGGAGCTGGGAACGCCGCTTCTCGGCAAGGCGAAGCCCAGACCACTGTGTCGTTGCGGCTGCTTCCAGGCCCAATGTCTCGAGCCGCTGCGCGGGGGCCTGCCCCTTCTCGGCCTTGAGCGGGATGCCGAGTAGGGCGTGCAGTTGACCGAAGATCCACTGCTGCAGCGCGGCGAATCGGCGCGGTGAAGAGCGGGAGAAATCATCGACGCACGCCATCTGAGGGACCGCGAATACACGCTGCAATGCGTGACGCACGCTTCCGCCCACGCGCGCGTATCCCCAGACGGCGCCAAAGGCGCCGAAAGGCAAGGCCCTGCGGGCGAAGGCAAGGACACCGCCCTCGGTGCCCACGTCGTCGCTCCAGACCAGCGTGGCTACGTACTTGCGCTCGTCGGGCCGTACGGGCCACTGGCGGTGCGCCTTCTTTGGCCCCCCTTCGCGAGGAGCGGTTCGCCGTCGCTGCCCCGATCCTGAAAGAGTTCAGCCACGTGCTCGATGGTGGCCATGAGCGCGGATAGGCCCGTGACCCGCATGGCCTCGATGGCCGCGGCCGCGGGGTTGAGGCCGCTCGCGGTGCAATTGTCGATTGGCCGCACATCGTAGCTGGTCGCCGTGCGGTGTTGCACCCTGGGGAACCGCTGCGTCGGTAGCCGTTCCGCGAACGGCACCGTGCTCACGGTCGCCATCGCGGCCGAGGTACACCTCCCATGGGCCCTCCATTTTCCCGGCCGCAACGTCTTCCTGCGTCTGGCGTAGGATGTCCTGCGTGCCGGGTTCCCGGCGCGGTCTGCTCAGGAGCTCCTTCAGCGTGTGGTCCCTGCGCTAGAGCGCGTGCTGCAATGCGTCTGATTAGTCCCGACGGCTAGGCAGCTGTCCAGCGTCCGCGCTGGCGAAGAGCATGGAGTCGGGCCGGGCATGAGCCCCGCCATCGGGAAAC